GGGTGGTGATGGGATTGTGGTGGTGGGATGGTGCCTTCTCCTGGGCATAGCGCTGGGCAGCAGGAGGGCAGCGGCAGCACCGGGGAGGCACGCTTGCCGCCAGCTTCGCCCCGCTCAACCCCAAATCCATCCCCAGCGCCGGCACTGCGGTCCTGATGGGAATGCTGCTTGCTAATGTAATCACGTATTTCACCCTTTCTGCTTACTTGCTCTCAGAACCGATGTAAATCCTCTAGGGGCCTTCCTCTGCCGAAAGTTAGATGCAATGTGATGCCTGCCTCTGAGGATCTGACTGTTGGGGGGAAAACTGGGAAAAAAGACCCCAATGCTGTGCAGTAGGCAAGGTGTGCAAATAAATGCTATCAGCTGGAAAGTTTATCCTCAAAAGAGCATAAAGAGTCCTGTCAAACACTCCCGAGGGATCAAATGCCACCTCAGTTTTCCTTCTGTGCTCTGAAAGCAGCTGATTCTTTACTCATTTAACTGGCCCTCTGACAATGTCAAACTCGTCCAATTTATTTAATCACTTACTGGCACACCAGCTCATCTCTGCTTGAAACCTTGGTCATCCTTCCTCCCTTCCTCAGCTTTGTCTTACTGACAAGCCCCAAACCTTTCATCAGCCCAAACAGGGCAGTAACAAATAAAATGAAAGTGGCAGAACAAAAGACCTTCCTTAAAATAAGGGGTTGGAAGCAGGAATCGTTACAGAGGGACTAGTGGAACAGGTGAAAATATTTTGGGGAAGGAAGGGATGCTACATTCTGTGGCTGAGCTACATCCTCCTGTCTGAATTTATGTCAGAAGGAAAAAACCCATGAAATTTGCCTTCTTTCTCACCCTTCTACTACAGTGTGTAAATATGATCTGCTCTAATTTTGCACTGAAAATATGAGATTTTGGAGCACCTGTCAGTCCTGGGACTTCACTAAATCTCTACTCTAGTAATATGTGCAAGCAGAATTCTTGGGCGTAGGTACATGTGGAAGGAAAAAGCTCAGCAGAGTTCTGAAATGCTGTGTAGCCTTGGCTGTGCAAATTGTGGTGGCTCTCCTGCATTGGCTCTCCTGCATTTTTAACCTGGTGGACTAAAGGTATATTGATGAGGAATTCCTTCCTGCCACCCATGCTTAGGCTTGTAGTTGATAGCTGATTGTATTACTAAAATCTGCAAGGTAAGCTTATATGAACAGCTGGCACATCTGAGCTATATATCTTGCAGTGTTTCACACCTCAGGCTTACACTATTAATTGTACAGTAAATACAGACCAAACAGTATAGCATAATTCTGACCAGTTTACCTGGGAAAAAATACCTTTCAGTTCAGGCAGTCAATCTGTTGCTTTTGCAAAAAGAGCTTGCACTGAGAAATTACTTGGGATATTTTCTGGGATGGAAGCAAACACAAAGGGTTCAGTCACCTGTTGGTAGGCAACCTTCCTTCCTCAGTTAGGAAATCACACCTAAGGATGTCACTCACAGATAATTAATGGAGACAGAGGCAGGGATAAAAACCTACGATGAAGTGGATCTGATTAAAAAAAAAAAAAAAGCCATGTGAAACCAAAGCCATAAATAGTTAGACTGTCTCTTTAGGCAGACCTCAGTTTGTGATGGATTAAGCTCTGTGCAACACCTCATTGCAAGAGAGTGACATTTCTTCTCTACTCTTTCTTTCGTGAGAGAATGCATGAATGGGGAAGCAGAGTTAGTAACTTGGGTTTGGCTTTCCCCTCAGTGGCAAACAGTGGTGTTTTCTTGGCAAGCCCACTAGGCACTGGCAAATTCTCGGTCCTCTCTCAGGTCAAGCCAAAGAGTCCCCAGGTGCATGGTGCTCACTTAGCATGCCACCCATGGGCTGGGCAGTCTGTGTGGGCACATGCACATTTTACATAGGACTGAAGTCCAAGCCAGCAATTAACTGTAAGACATCCATGTATCTATTCATGCCTGCTGAAGTCTCAGGGCAGCACAGAAGTTGGTTCAACCTGTGTAGAGAAGGCAACAAAATGTGATTGTGATGCTAGCGGTGAAATTATTACTGACATCAGCAGTGGAATGATTTGCTCTTTATGACTGCAGTCAGAAATGAAACCTTGATTGGCAGCCTCCAAGGAGCTGTGTTTTCTTAAACATTACACAGATAAGAAATACTATGTATAACTGAGTTTTAATTGTTTCTTGAGTTAATTTCAGCATGAATAGGTTACACAATGATTTGAGAGAGATGCTATGATTTCACTTCTTTTAAGGTGGTATTTTTGCTTGCCTTGTGGCATGAACTTTTCTAAAAAAAAAGTTTCTTAAAGAAAGATCTCAATAATTAGCTCTCTGGTATTAAGGAGGGGCATAAACCTATAAGATATTAGTAACTATTTAAAGAAAATACTTTCCATTAAGGAAAAGCTGGAAAATTATTATGCTAATAACTGGATGGTGCCGTTCCATGTAAAATTCCCATAGGTATTAATGGAAGTTTTGTGCTAAATCAGCAGTAGTTTAGGTAGTGGATTGTAAGAAAGGATATGCTGCCCAACAGGATCTTAATCCTTCTGGATTTACTCAGGCAAACTTTGTCTTTGAAATGCTTTTGAAATCTGTCCCAGTTTCAAGCAGGAGTCATGCCTGAATAGTATTACAGGATCAGGCTTCAAATGTAAAGGCAACAAAATTTAAATATATTAAGATAGATCTCTTAATCCTGCACTGTTAGAACGTGGGTTAGAGGAGGAAAGAGCTGGAGCTTTAGCTTATTACTTCTTGTCTTAGTCAACGCGGACTGATTTCTCCACATGTTCTTGTACTCTTTTCTTGTCAGGGACAGCTCGTGTTGCATAGACCGGGCTGCTGCAAGGATGGGGCCCCTGGAAGCAATAGGTGAAGAAAACCAGACAGATGAAATGAAAATGGAGCTCTTCACCAAGCTGTACTTGCCAAGATACACCACACCGCTCAATGAATTGGCTCTGGACCCTAAACCAGAGCTGAAGGACAGCACAACACTAGTTGAAGTGCAGATAATCCTCATCTTTGCTTACTGCTCCATCATCCTGCTGGGGGTGATTGGAAACTCCCTTGTGATCCATGTGATCATCAAGTTCAAAAGCATGCGCACAGTGACTAACTTCTTCATTGCCAATCTGGCTGTGGCTGATCTGCTGGTGAACACATTGTGCCTGCCCTTTACTTTGGTTTACACGCTGTTGGGTGAATGGAAACTGGGTCCAGTCTTGTGCCACCTGGTACCTTACGCCCAGGCTCTTGCTGTGCATGTGTCTACTGTTACTTTGACTGTGATCGCTTTGGATCGGCACCGCTGCATCGTCTACCACTTGGAAAGCAAAATCTCTAAGCGGATCAGCTTCCTGATTATAGGAGTTGCCTGGGCAGTCAGTGCCCTGTTGGCAAGTCCCCTGGCCATCTTCCGTGAATACTCCTTGATTGAGATCATTCCTGACTTCAAGATTGTGGTCTGCTCTGAGAAGTGGCCAGGAGAGGGACAGCTCAACTACGGCACCATCTACAGCGTCTCCATGCTCCTGATCCAGTACGTGCTGCCGCTAGCAGTCATATCCTATGCCTACACCCGTATTTGGACCAAGCTGAGGAACCATGTGAGTCCTGGGGCGGCGAATGACCACTACCACCACCGGCGGCAGAAAACCACCAAAATGCTGGTCTGCGTGGTTGTGGTGTTTGCTGTCTGCTGGCTGCCATTTCACACCTTCCAGCTAGTCAGTGACATTGACAGTCAGGTGTTAGACCTGAAAGAGTACAAACTGATCTACACAGTGTTTCACGTGATTGCCATGTGCTCGACATTTGCTAATCCCCTTCTCTATGGCTGGATGAATAACAACTACAGGACGGCCTTCCTCACGGCCTTCCAGTGTGAACAGCGGCTGGACTCCATCCACCCAGAAGTATCGGCAGCTTTCAAAGCCAGGAAGAAAGTAGAAGCAAAGAGGATTCAATTCCCTGGAGACTCTTTCACACAACCTACCAATGTCTAAGGTATCTGACTTTAAAGAAGAAATGAATATATTGTGGACAAAGGGATGAATGTCTTTTGACACATGCATTTTTAATGCATACTTTTATTCAGAAATGGTGAAAGAAAAGTAGCAGGAAAGTCAAGGCAGGTGATATGATTTGAGGGGAGTTGATCAGCATGAGGAGTATGGAACTGTAAAACTGCAAGAAAATAAAAGGGAGAGACTTTGTTTATGGTTGTCTCTAACAGTGTTAGACATACTCCCATCCCCCCCAGTCCTTCTGGCAAGTCTAAATGACAAAGGTAGGGTTTGCTGGTTTGGCTGTATGAAGGCAAATGGCTGATTTGTGACACAGGAATACTGATGGTGGGAGCAGGTAATTTTTATATTGAATATGGAGATTGGGGAGCGCAGAAGCCTGCCAGGAGAATGAAGCCTGTCTGGGGGGAATAGGCTGTGCTGGCTAAAGCTCAAACTTTTCAGACCCCTTCTCTCCCACAGGTATCTTTTGCAAAGGTGGGGAATTATGAAGAGAAATGTCACTGGTTTTTGACTTTGACTTACTGAAGTACTTCGGAGCATTTGAAATAGATTAGGGGGGGAAAAAAAAGAGGAAAAAACCCCCACAAAAACAAACACCCAAATGATAGATTCAATGTGAAGAAAGGTCAAGTTCCTACCTAAAACGAAATGTAGATTTTGGCCAATCAAATGGTGGTAAAAAGTCATTCCTTAAGAATTGGCTGTGGCTATGTTGCTGAGAAAATCATGAGCCTGTGACCTGATCAGTGATTCCCTGCAGATCCCTACCTTTCATTCTGTGCTAGGCACAGCTCAAATGCAATGCTTTAAAGTGGTGTTTGATGGCAGGGGATGCAGGCTCAGGTCTTCTGTGAGCACTTCATAAACTGCCAATATTTTCATTCTCAAGACCTGCTTGAATGTCTAAGGTGTTATTAACTCCACAGGCTTTGAATTGTTGCCGCTTTCTCCCTCGATAATAAAACAGCAGATAATTTTGATCCTCTAGAAAGGCTGCTTGATGGTAAAGTGCTTTTCGTTATTGTGATTTTATGTCATACACTTGTCTAGGGGCTTTTTCCATCTTTAGCCTTTGTATAAGTAAGAACATCTGAATGACTGTAATCTAATAAAAGTATGCTAGGTTTAGGTGATAACTTATCGGTTATTCTGCATGCTGTAGTTAATAGTTAAATTCCTTTTTTGCTCAGGTATAAAATTTTAATCTGTTTACTGTGTTGTACACAGCAATGTTCAACTCTTTTGTGTCTTTGTTTAGACTCCTTGAACTCATTAAAGAGATGAAAAATATTTCAACCCATGTTTATTCCAAGCTGCCCTGTGGCTTATCTATAATAAAAATAAGCGTGATACTTTCACTTGGTGTTTCTTTCCAGTTACATTTCAGCTGCCTCATTTTTTTTTCCTCAGTTTTTTGTTGTTCCTAAATCCATTGTGTTCTCTCTTACAAATTAAAACCCAAAAAAACTCCATTACTGAAGTGTTAGCAATGAAATGGGTGGTATCAGGTCTTTATCAAGTGGGAAAATTTATCTTTGTATATGCAATATTTGGCACCATCCACTAAATATCCATGAAATCATTTGGACTTCGGTTTTCATGAACAGAAAGGGAGGTCTAGAGAATTAGTTACTGTTTACTCAAGCAGGAGAAAGTATCCATCATTCTTAAAGTTTTACAAAAATAGATTCATTCTCAACCATGTTGAGAACATGATATTGTCCACAAGTTACTTTTATCTGAGTATTAATAATATCCAAAATGTAAGCTCAAAATTGTTATGGGTGAGGAAGGATTATAGAAGTGTGCAATTATTATGGACATCAATCATATGTATCAGTTCCAGTTCACTCTGAACCCTTTATCTAAAGTATTGTTGCCACAAATAGCTTCCTTTATTTAAAAAGCAAATGGTTTGAAAGTTCTGTTTCAACCCTTTTAAGCCTGTTAAAGTGTGGTATACAGACAGTTTTGAAGTAACCATGACAGTGTATGCTGAAGCTACAATTTCTGTGCTAATACTCCATAATTTTAAGTCTGCTTTACATCATCCTGCATAAAAGTGATTAATTACAAATTATCTTTCAGTCTATTTTATGGTATCTTTATTTTACTGCTTCCTGAGCTTTCTCTGCAGCCATCATGTTGAGCCAAAGTTGGTGCGCTAATTTGTTGCATTGCTCTCCTGTCTGCCATGTGGAGGTGGTGCCTGGGTCAGTGCCTGCTCCAGGGTCATGGACCTCTGCACAGTGTCCCACTGAAGAATGTGGATTTTCCCATGGCCCTTTGAAGATGGAATGTGGAAGAGCCAGCATGCACAACCCGTCACACATCTTAGTCGCTCCTTGGGACTTGGCTCTTGCCCAAACACAGCTATGCAATTTTGTACTCCTTCACATTGTAGGAAAATTAGGCATTTCCTTGCCAAAAGGAGTAAGGTAGCAACGTCTATCAGAGTTGACCCAAGTCCCATGTGTCAGAAGGATGTGGAAACTCAGGGTTTATCCCCATTTCCCCCTAAGGGAAAGTGAACCTATAAGCAGGCTCTAACCACTGGACTGAGGAATCTGCAGGGGAGCCTCTGCTTTGCCTGAAATAGGAACTGGAAGCCAGGTCTCTCCATTGACCTGTTAGTGCTTTAATTAGTCTTTTTAAAAGCATTATATTCTTTTCCTGTTGAATAGGTACAAGTTTTTTACAAAGCCAAAGAACACCAGCAGCAACACTCATTGAAGATTTTGCAAGTAGGCAGCAGGGCACCCAAAACGAAATGTCATTGCGGATTCAGGGCAAGAATTTGAATCAAAATGCCTTGGTTCTCAGGAGAGTGACCTAGCCAGCACACTTCAGCCTCTCCTGAGGTAGCAACATATGTCTTCTTAGAGCTGTTCTATTGTATATAAAATAATTAAACATTGAATATAATGATTTTATGAGCAGATAATTACAACCTTTGCATGGTACTCGGGTTCTGGGCCAAGGATGTCAAAACAGATATAAATAGAAAGATATAAATAGAATTTAAATTAGAGCCCCCCCCTCGGCCCCCCCCGAGTACTTCTGCTGTGAAGATACTGCAGTACAGGCAGGAGGAGAGCAAGAAGAGTAGCACCATGCTAATCTCTGGGTGGGTCTTACACTGGGCTCTCATTTGGTGTTGGTTTATAAAAGGGAGAGCTATCTGTCACACAGATCTCCATCGTAGAGCTGCAGACTATCACTGAGCATAAAATGTATCATTGTGAAATTGAGAAAAAAACGGATTTCAGGGCATAAGCAATTAAAATCGAGGGACTAAGCAAGCATAACAAATGGGTTTCGTATGCATTCCTATTTATATATACATTTTATGGCAGAACTGTGCAAAGGCTGTTTGGTAGGGTTAAGTTTGTTGGAAATAATTGCCTGTTGGTATGACCATGTCTTGTATAAAATGTGTAATGGACACACATATAATGCTAAAATGTTAATGGTATCTAACACTTAGAGTAATAACTGAATGGAAGATCTTATCTCATTTCATCTGTCAGACCACAAAAGAACCACTGAATTCATGGATTAGTATAATCCATTTCCTTGCTTCATAGTTTCTAAACTCCCTCAGGAATTTTTCTTATATTAATCCAGATAATGACCTTAGGGAACGAATTTTGTCTTTGGATGCCTTATTTAGCTGGTACCATCATTATAAATGCTGCTCCACAATAACAGGTTCTTTGCTCTAAGAAGCCAGGAGATGTATGTAAATCTACTCAGGTTAGTGTTGCTGAGGAGCTATATTTTAAATACTGCAGTATAAATGCTTATTTGTGCAATCAATAGTGATTTTCACATCTCATCTTAATTTTTTAAAAAATATCAAATCAGATGTTATTTTAAAAGAAAATTAATACAACGGTAGTGAGGAAATCTGAAGCTGCTAAAACTGGAGAAGTAAGAAAGTCAGAGAATGAGTGGCTACTTCAAGAAGCAAGAAATAGAGAACAGGGCTAGTGAGGATGTAATTGATTTATAGACTTTTCTTCTTCCCTTAGTCTGAGTGGTGAGAGAAACGTGTTAAAATGAAGCCAGGGCAAATGAAGACACAGATCAATTGTATGAACAAAGGACAGTGTTGCCCGGGGAAACTGAGGAACTTCGAGGATAAATTCCCATGATCATTTCAGCCTTAAAATTCACATCATGTTCTGAAGCAAGTAAACCTGTGTCTGTACATTATTCCACCTAGAAGCAATATAGGTAAACAGCTCTGTACTGATAATGTACCAGAAGCCATGGATGTGTTATTAATTCTAGCCAGTACATAGAATGAATAATGCATACATACTCCTCATAAGCTCATTTCAGATGGCATATATGAAAAAATTGATGCTTGCATTAAAATATTTCCCCTCAGACTTTACTGAGCTCCTCTGGAAGGAAGAGTGCTTCAAGCTATAAAACTTAAAAACTGTGGAATTACATATCTGATGATGGAGGCACAATTTAACTTGAAAAAATTATTACAATTTTTTGTTTTGCTGACACTGTATAAGAGAAACAGGCTGTTATTTGCCTCTTGGACCTGCAGTTGAATTTGCACAAGTAGACTTTATATGAAACAGACTTTTATTTGTGTACTACTTTGCAACTCTTGTAAGCTACTAACCCTGCTATACAGGATATTTCTAACAGCAGAACTTATGTTTACACATCCATGAGCCCAAACTATTTCTATCCCTTTAAGGTTGCACAGAAAAACAGAAGTCTAGGGCAATTTTCCTATTTACTGGCATCCTCCAAAATTAGAGCTGTTGGTACCCAACTGGATTTTAAAGTTTGTTGGAAGCATTGTGACTTTTAAATTTATTTAAGGTAACCAAGCTAGTGGAACAGCAGGCCTTGCTCTTATTGCATGCTGGCTCAGGGCAAGCTCATCCTAGAGGAGCATGGCCACAGTTACCAGCCGTTCTGAACTGAACTGGACCTGAAGACAG